AAACGTCTATTTTGGTAGTTTTTGCCCCTTGCAGGCAAAACCGTTGACGTTAGGTCAAATCTAAGAGAAATAACCAGAAAGCATGCTAATATGGCTATCAAATGCGCTTTTCCGCGGTGCTGTAGCTCTAATTGGTTCCCGAGTTATGCGTCGGCATCCTGTAAACTGTCCATATTCGGCCTGAAAATCGGCGAAATTTGGCCTTCACCATGACCGTCCTGACCTTTGACCTGACCAAAAAAGTGGCCGAAGTAATTTCGTCATTATGTTTGACGCTCTTTCGAATGAAGATGGAAGATGGATTATGGGGTGCAAAAAGATATGTTTGCCAATGCACGTCTATGTTTTTGCCTTTTGGATGGAAATTGAGGATGCAGCTGCAAGTGCACACCGCGCACTCCTCTTCCGCCGCCCCTGATTTCTTGCCACAAACGTCTTCAACCGCTCCCGAATGAAAGAATGTACGTTAACCCGGCAGGCGGTGGGCCTCCCAGCCACCTTCCGCGCGGTGGGGGGGGGGGCATTTTTTTGCCCCCCCCCCCCCGAATCTCCGAAACTACTGGACGGATCCGGAAAATTCAAACGGCGTTCGATAGCCCTGTCAAATTTGTCGAGGAAAATCAAATTTCATTGACCTCGGGGTCACCGATGACGTCACAGGTCAGGTCAAAGATAAAATGTTTCACCGTTCACGGGCAGGGCCTCCTCTAAGGATTTTTCACTGGGTGGGCAAAATTTTCGCCACTTCCCCGCCCAAGGGCGGATCCAGCCACTTGTTTTGGGGTTCAACCAATTTCAAAACCTGTTACCGGGGGGGGGGGGGGGGGGGGGTGCGGGGATGAGACGAAATAAGCTGTGCCATTATTGGAAATAAAATGATAGTTAACGTTTGTCGTATGTTTTATGGTTAGCGATGCTCGAGCGATTCGTTCCAGATTACATGTACATTGTACAGCCCTCAGCAGACTGCGTGATAGGTATTCTTTTTCCGACAAAACTGATTATAATTCAAAAGTCATGTTATCAGTCGGTCGAAGCTCACTGCAAATAGATGCGCCATGCTCCACTCCTTCGATAGGGCCTATCAATAAACAAAGCATATCTACGCCTTGTGTGGCAACAAAATGTTTAAGTTCGTTTTGGGGGCAAATATAAACTTTTGGGTTTTGTTGCCAAACTGGATGGAAAATGCATACGATGATAATGCCAATCTAAGCTGCGGAGTCTCGCGCATCTTTCTGTTACGATTTCCGAGTGCCCGATAGCATAGTATTCGCGTTATTCTCGGTTTTGTCGAAAAAAAGGATACCTACCACGCAGTCTGCAGAGGGCTGTACTTGCAGCCCTCCGCAAAAACTGCGTGGTAGGTATTCTTATTTCGACAAAACCGATACCTAATATCTCAAAGGTTATGATAATCAGTCGGTCGGAACACATTGCATATAGATGCGCCATGCTCCACCCCTTCGATTAATTCAGTCACTGAACAATGTGTACTCTTACCGTAGCAAAAAAGCAAAAGTTTGTTTTGGGGGGAAATATAAACTTTTGTGTGTTGTTGTCAAACTAGATGGAAAATGTATTCCAAAATAAGCCCAATCTAAGGTGCGGAGTCTCGCGCGTCTTGCTGTTACGATTTCCGAATGACCGTTAGCGTATTCGCGTTATTCTCGGTTTTGTCGAAAAAAGATACCTTATACCACGCAGCTTGCAGAGGGTTGTACCTTTATTGTACGTGCCTTTTCACTTACGAGACAATTACTTGATAACTCCAATATCGGCAGGGGCGTGGCCAAGGGGAGGGGCCACGGGGGCAATGGCCCCCTCCCTTGAGCGCAGAAGGTGCCATGGGGGCCCCACAGGCCCCGGGATATTTTTTCTAACACTGGATAAAACGTATTTTACTCGGAAGCAAATTTATATCAATTCAAGTTTCATTTCTGTGGCCCTGGTTACCCGAGGTGCCCCTGATTACCCAATGGGCCCCTGCACTCATCCGAGGACCCCCGGTTTCCTGGGGCCTCTGGTCGCCCAGGGGGCCCCTGGTCGCTTGGGGGGAGCTAGTCGCCTGGGGGCCCCTGGTCACCTGGGGTTCTGGTCGCCTGGGCCCCTGCCCCCTGGTCGTCTGAAAGAACGTTTGTCACCTGCAGTGGCATAGCCAAGGAGGGGGCCAAAGGGACCATGGCCCCTCCTGGAAGCCAGGGGTCCTTATTCCATAGAGGCCCCTGACTGACACAGTGGGCCCTTGGCGACGCAAAGGCCCTGCGGCAGATCCTTTGACACAGCTGAGTAGTTATTCTTTGGCCAAGAGAGACCCAATTTTAGAGCCTTGGGGCCCTATTGAAACCAGGGGGCCAGTTGGATGGGATGGGTCCAACTTGGGTCCAACGGTGTGTAAACAGAATCAATGCGTTCCGACTGTTGGTCTGACCCTATATCGGTTTGAGGGAGCTCGGATCGGATCCACTGTCGATCTGAGGGGCCCTTATCGGTTTGAGGAGGCCCTCAAATGACCTGAACGGGCCCTTAGTTTGTCTGAGAGGGCCCTACGTCGGCCTGACTGGGCCTCTGCAAGTGCAAGGGGCCTTTTGTCGGTCTGAGTGGCCCTAGACGGCTTATATGACCCTCAGACGGCTTACGAGGCTCTCATGGGCTATAGGGGCCTGTGACGGTCTGAAGAACCCTCATCCGACCTACGGGTCCTCAGACCGCCATCAGAACCGGCTGGCGACTCTATGAAGCTATTCGTGGGCCTGTCTAACAGGGGCCCATATACTGCTTACCCCCTCAGTTCTAACATTGTTTGTTAATGAATATTTTTTCCATTTATTTGGGCCCCATCCAAAAAAAAATATTGGATGCAACCCGATGGCTTTTTGGATTTTGAGGGGGTTATCTTGCGCCCTTGTGCGTTTAGCCCCCTCCTTGAGGAAATCCTGGCTACGCTCCTGAATATCGAGCAACCAGAAAACTTTTTTTGACCTTCAAACAGCATCCAGTTTCCTTTAGTCAAACAGCGACCGGAAAGGTAGTACCGGACGTCCGGCCGGACCTTTATTTTTGCATTTGCTTCTGGGTGGGCAAATCGACGCCACTGGGTGGGCAATTGTGGCGACTGGGTGGGCATTTGCCCACCCAGTGGGTATGTTAGAGGAGGCCCTGTTCACGGGGCTTCTAGGGAAAGCGCTAAACACCGAGTAAAACGCATTTTGTCGAAAATCAGCGATAAGGCGTCAGTTGTCTAGTACATATGTTGCTATTAGAGGTCACTGGTCATACCAGGTCAGGTCACAGGTCAGGTCACCAAAGGTCACCAAGGGTCACCACATGAGCCCAACTTTACTAAGGTTATGTGATGCATGTTTTATGGCCAGTTTTTCATTTCCAACTCAATGGTGTTGTTTATAAGACAATCAGGTACGGTTTAGGTCACTTTCTGGTGGAGGTCAGGTCAAGGTCAGGTCAAAAAATGTCAAATTTCAAAGTTGATATTTTTGCATAAAATGGGTATCGATTCGATGCAACTCGGCACGGGGAGTCTAATGGTGGTCTTTGTTTTGCGCTACGAGGTCTAGAATTGCGAAAAATTGAGTTTGAAAATTTGACGTCATCAATTTTGAACAGTTTTTTCGCTATAACTTGGCCAAAAAAAGAGGTATCGATCTCAAATTTGGTATGTAGATGGAAGGCGGTAGGGACTATGACAAGTTTTCCGTTTTTTTTCGAAATTCAAAAAACTTTTTGGATTTTTTGGCTATTATATTGAAAAAATATATTTTTGGGGGGTCAAAATCCACAAAATTCGAAAAACCGAAAGAACAGTTTTGTAGCCCTTTTAATTCCACACCTTTTATGTCTGAAATATTTTTCTGTATCTCTAAAGCTGTAGGCCTGACAGCTCTTCCCGCGAAACCTTTTTTCGGTCGAAAATGGCAAAAATGACGTCACTCTGACGTCATTAGCGGCCAACCTATCATAACCTTTGGAAAAATTTTTGGTCACCAAGTGCGCTAGCTGCTCCCGGGAGGGTACTGAAAGTTCGGTGACGATCGGCGCAGCGGTTCTCGAGATATATTGAAAAAACTAAAGGGGGGCAAAAAATGACCCCCCCCACCGCCTGGAAGGTTAATATTGATATATTGTCATTTTGTGGAGGTTGGGCAAAGCCTGACCACTACTGGGGCATTCCTCGACTCTACTGGGGCATTTGCCCCAGTAGTTAACATGTTAGCCGAGGCCCTGCGCCAAAATCGAATCCGCCGCCACTGGATGCACATCTTTTTTTTGTTGAGAATGTTCAACTTCAAAATTTTGACCTTTTTGACCTCGCCGTGACCTGACCTTCATTTGTCGAATGGAAATAGTTTCGAATCGGACGACCCAAATGACATCATGTTTAGATGCTTTTGCCGAAATGGACCCTTAAAGATGTGTCACATGACCTTAAAAATGTATACATTTCCTTCCATGACCTTTTCCATGACCTTTTGTGACCCATGACCTTTCCATGACCTTTTGTAACAAAGTTAGGTTTCGTTTGTCAGCTATTCCTATCAGAAGCCGTTTGAATTTTTAGTATTGAACGACTCGTTCACCAGTGTGAACGAGTAGTTTCGAAGACAGCAGGGAAGCTATGCAGAATCCCCTCCCGAGTCACCCACGTTATGGGATATACCCGTCATCCGCGGATTACAAGCAAAAATATTTTTACGGATCAGCTGGATCAGCAGGATGCTCATACGTTTCCATACGTGACCTTAAGGTTTACTTCACATATGATAAAAATTCCTTGGCAAAATGTCAACTGGTTAACGAGTTATCGCATTTTGGCCACTTCCGAACTCAAATAGCGGCTGTGTGCAGCGGTGAGCGGTGTACCTACTGTGCAATGTGCACAGGCCTGCCCGCTGCCGTGTCATGTAAACTGTAAAGCAGGCGCATCAAGGCCATATATAGGCGTTTTACGCATTAAGATATCATAACATTGAAGCGATACTTACTTTGAGCCGTTTTTTGAAGTCCTCTGTCCTTGAAAAATGGCTCTGGGTTGACTTGAAAAGCTGTATGTGGCCGACACGTTTGGTCCATTATCGGAAGACATCTTCCGAGATAAAACTGCGGCCATGCCGTGTTTTTCACTCAAAGATTTGTCCACACACACCATTTGTCCGCACAGGCAAGACCCGCACTGCCTGGTATCAGAAAGTATCTAACTCATAAGGTCGGCGGCGGCATGTCAGCCGGTGCTCAGCCATGTTTATCGATGCGGCGTCCCGCCGTTGCCATGGCGACAAAGGTCGGCGCCGGCTCGCTGGAATGCGGAGGAGTATGCGATTGCGGGCGGCACAGGCGGCACGTGGCTGACGCAGGAATGGGATATCATTGGCTATGGATTAGGAAGGTACATACATAATGGCTGATGATGTCTTTCCGCCCTGAAGATTGGTCCGAGCAGCCCTGACTGAGGTATGCACAAGCAACCGAAGCAGGGCTGCGGAGTCGGAGTCGGAGTCAGAGTCGGAGTCGGTCGGAGTCGGTCGGAGTCGACAGTTTTGCCCGGAGTCGGAGTTCGAGCTGGAGTCGCCAAAATCATACCGACTCCGACTCCGGGGTCGGAGCTCGGAGTCAATTTCGCATGACTCAGTCATGCATGACTCAGTCATGCCGCAATACTTATAGGTAGGTACATGTTTCCTAGAAAGCATTGGAAGATTCCAAGACGTGCAAGGCATGGTTTCAGCCTTCACTTTCAGGCAAGATAAATAAAAGATATCAGACGTAAATTTTTTGCCATCACGATTGGACAAAAGACGAAAAAGTCGGGATGTCTGAGTCGATTTTTGAGGCCGGAGTGGGAGACAGAGTCACCGAAAAATCCATCGACTCCGCATCCCTGTCACTGTGCACAAGAATGATGACGATGCAATGCATGCAACAATGGTTTGCAATGGATGCAATGGACGCAATGCATAGGGATGGTGTGATGGGGTGTGATGGTGTGATCATAGGTGGCGGAACGAGGGGGCACCGGGGTCCGGGGCACCGTGCCCACCTTGATTTTGCCATTTTAACATTAGCCCTATGGGCGTTGCATGGGAAGAATGGGACCAAAAGTCGGCAGTGCCACTCCTCCTCAGGTGTTCCGCTGCTACTGGGTGTGATGTGTGTGACGTGTGTCATGTAGGATGCCGCCCTGGCTCCGCCTTCGGCGGTGGAGGCCCGGAGGGCGGCATTTTTCGATAAGCTAGGGGCTTCGGTCCCTAGGCCAAGGCCTAGGGACCTTGGCCTAGCCTAGAAGTCCCTAGGCTAGGCCGTAGGCCCTCCCCCAAGGGCCAAGATTAGTTCCCCCGGCCCCCCCCCCCCAAATCCGCGCCTGATAAATTTAAAGGGACCCTCCCACCTTCAAAAAAGTTTATGAATTGGCATGAAAGTGATGTCGCTCGGTTCAGAAAGAGCGAAAACGAATATCTACCAAATTTCACCGAAAAATATTCACCGGTTTTCAAGATATTAGACTTTTACTTTTGTTTACTTTTTTGGGATCTCCGCTGTTTCTAGTGACTTTGCCCGCGTTCGATGTCTCTCGGACGACGAAGATTCTACGCCGTCCGGCCAATCACGTTCCATAACCATTAACCGCAGCCGAGCCCCCGCTGACCTTGGACGGGATTGGCCGGACGACGTAGAATCTTCGTCGTCCGAGAGACATCGAACGCGGGGTTTATTTTAGAAGTGCGGCGTTTGCGGCAGATGTTGCGCGCAAATAGCATATACCACCGCGTGCTACAAAACGTTTTAGTCAAATATTTAAAAGTCGTTAGATATCTGCGCTGACGTCACACATTCAGAGGGGTATTCCTAAGCAGGAATGCTGCAATTTTGAAATTCAATATTTCCGATGTTGTGAGTGCCGAAACCGGTAATTGTGAGCCAGGGACCCCATTTTGGCTATCTCAACTCAAATCTACGGTGCATATTTACGTCTGGACAACGAGTTGCGGGGAAAAGTGCTGATTTTGTTGCAGTTTTAGGAGCCGGTGATGAGGCTGGATTTTTAGGTTACTTTTTCGTTCTGATTCATGTATTTCATAGTGTTTGGCTTTTGAATATTTTAGTTCTTTCAGATAAATATTACTTGCCTTACAACTTTTGTAAAAACGTTTCATTTTTTATAAGCCGACCTTCAGAGTCCTAAAAATACATCAGCACTACAATCATTGTAAACAAACAAATGGAGCACCACTTGGCTCTGTTCCAAGGCTTTATCTGGTGGTTTCCGTACTCTTGTACGTCGGTTTGTTGGATGTTTTGGATCCCTTAAGATTGACTTATATCATATTTAAGAAGCATGTGACTGAAAACAATCCGAAGTATCCAGGAGGCTGACAGAGGTCCTGACTCCTGGGCTGTGGGCAATATCAATATCAAGTTGAACTTGAAGTTATGAAATTTTGGTTGATAAACGCAAGTTGATCGGGCTCATATATCAGCAAAAAAAGTAAAATTTAAAGAGCTTATTGGCCGAAAACAAGCTATAATATTGCAGATCTTGGAGCAATACTGAAGAGCACGCGGAGCAGGATCATGCCAGAAAATGTTGACTGATGAGCGCATATTGATGTATTGGTATGAATATTGAATGATAACTTACAACAGCAAGATAAATTAGTGCTAACTATCAAGTTAAAAATCTAGAATGAATGGACTTTGGCAGCTTTACTATGCTTAGATGCTATGCAGATTGTAATGTGCATCAGGTACTCAGTGTCTGGCAAATGAAACGTGCGATCATTCCATTGCTACTGCAACTGGAGGAGAAAGCTTGGATCACTAAATCCACTTTATCTTGATTTTGATGTTAATCATTACTGCATTTCTTGAAAAAAGGATTGTTATAAAATTGTCAATGTGACAATCCAAGCAACGATGTGATCATATGATGTGTTCATAGTCATTCATGATAGTGATTCATGATTGTTGGTCCAATATACAATGGCAAAGCTCTCAGTCTCAGCGTTTCTTCCTGTGGATTGCCAGCAGTGACTCAGAGCTTAGAAGTATTAGTTTTCTTCACAGGGCTGGGATAAAAAGTACTGAGGGTAATCTTCCACCAAGGAACTCTACTTTGAGTTTTGACATGGTATGCGATGTAGGCACAAGTAGGTAGGTGCTTAGTTCCTAAGCAGTTGTGTAGGTTTAGTCGGGTTAGCTTAGATTAGGTTATGTTAGTTTTGTAATTTGCCAAGTGTCCATAAAAATGTGACCTGAGCAATGAGTATGCCTGAATAACCTGACAGCTGACCTAACCTCAATTGTCACACATATTATTTGCAGCCTACCCAACCTGCATAGCAGTAGCACCCAGTTATAGGTAGGTACTCACACTAACTCAATCTTACCTGCTAACCTTCAACCAAGGGCTCCGCCACCGGGGGGGACGGGTGGGACATGTCCCCCCCAACCAAAATGTTGGGTGGGACATACTATCTTTTGTCCCCCCCCAATAATCGGCTCTCCCGCTGGTAGATAAATCGACTCTTGTTCCTGACACCGAATACAGAACATAGGTGCAAAGAATCTCCGAAGAAAAAACGTGATGAGAATCTAATTAACCTGTCGTCGATACCTATACCTATTGTCGCTGTGCTTTTTTTTAGTCTTTTTCTGTTATGGGGCCTAGGAGTTCAGGTTTTTTTTTAGTAGATCATATCGACAGGCGTTTTCGCGTTAGGTATATCAACGTGAGTCTACTGACGAATGTTCGCAATCATTCGGCCCATTCCGATGATGAATCCAGTAGGTATAGGTATCCAGTAGGTATATCCAGTAGGTAATCCAGTAGGTATATCAGATAAGGATCTCTCAATCAATTAAACGCTCAATACGGAGATAATTCTTTCGGGTAAACGCGTTCGTTCTTTTAGAGGAAACTTCCAGCTGTCAAATAAGAATATCGCAGAACTGTAGGATGAGAGAAGCTGTTTGTTTCCAGTGTTTGAGAGGTTAACCCTCGTTCTTATGGTGGGTCGGATTGACCCACACCCACCCCTCAGTTTTTCGCAAGTACATAACTCGCGTAATAAGTGGTTTATCGTGTCGAAACTATTAGTATTTCCCGGGAATTTTACACATCCTCTGAAAATTTCATGATCCTAACCCCCATGGGCCATGACTTTTGGGCCTGTAGCCTATTTCTCCAGACCATGTCAGGCCGAAACACCGATTCGGTGTATGTCAGCGCACATTATCTATACGTTTCCAGACTTGTTATGTCATAAAACCGAGCCAACATGTTGAAATGACGGTAGACACATGCAATTATGGTAGGTGTCAAGGTCACATGAGTATCAGGTCAAGGTCATTATACCGTTAGATGAATTTGGTTCACTTTTTCGAGTTAGGCATGTTACTAGGAAACGTTTTGGGGATGATGTCGAATTAACCCTCGCCGGCCGAGGGGGGGGGGGGGTGCCGCCCCCCCCCCCATAGGGTTTTTTTCGCGATAGCTCCGAACACGCTGGCGATAGAGAGCTGAAACTTGGCATACCTGACCTTTGATTCAAGCCGGATCTTTTGACACCAACTGCATTTTTGGATCAGGTCAGGTCGACGTCATAAGTGAACCTCTGCACGGTCTTCAGATGTCGCAACTTCGCAACGCCCTGACTGCCTGAGATGTCACAAGGAAATGAAACTTGCAGGATCTAGTATCCATTATGAGTCTCACAACTTGTATATCTCGTATTTTTCCTAAAGGTCATATGAGGTCAGGTCATTTTCGTGACCTCACCATTATAAGTCAATGGGGAAAAATGAAAACTGATATTCTGGCGCCGGGAACGATCTCCAAATATCTCAAGCACACAGAATCGTGATTTGATGCACTCCTTGCAAGGTTAGATGCGTCACTTTTGCAATGTTGACCTTGCGTGACGTCATTTATGGCGTCATCAAGGTCATATTAGTTTTTCGTCAATAACTCTTGATCAAATTGAGCTAGCGAGTCGGGAAAGCCACCACTGGACTCAGGAAGACCTGCCGAATCGAATGATATGCGACATGACCTCTTTCAACCAGCTTCGTGACCTGGGGGTGCTGACCTGACCTTGACCTTGGGTCAACACCCCAAGTTGACCTGACCCGGACAAAAAGTATATCATTCGACGCGCCTGAGCGAGGCGAACACGATGCGACCAAAATCGCGGCCCTGTGGCCTTTTTTTGCGAAGTTATTCACCAAAAACTCAACCGTACCCTGGGCCACTTGACCTGACCTCAGAGGTCACCGGTTG